AATCTGATGGTCAAAGATGTCAGGCATGCAGACGATGTTAAATGAGTATAAAATATTGTTGCAGATATCAGACTTGTTTAGTTTCATTGGAGCAATATAGTTTTATTGAGTTTACCACAAAATTTAGCCTGTTCTGCAATGATGTTGCCTATGCAGTTTACCAATACATTGACCATTTACGGTCTGATCTTTCTTGAAGTGACCCATGAAGGTCTGGGTTAGAATGAACCTTCAGTAACCCATGCTTGTCGTAAGAGGCGACTAACAAGATCGGGTGGTCAGGCTCGCTGGCTTGGTTGACATCAGTTCCCAATTGTGCAGATCGATGTTCATGCTGTTGATCACTGGATTATTTACAGACCGCTGCCATATAGCTGGAATATTGCTGAGTATGGCGTAATACTAAACTCACTCACTTTCTGGAAGTAGTCCAGCCATAGGACACCTTCTGAATCCCAAAAAGATTAACTGACCTTGCCTTCCTTCTCGAGGGAGATTTTAGATATTCCAGCAGCGAGTCTGATGTTTAGTCTCTGGTTGCTGGTGGTGTACCCAAGACTCATCTGTTCTTACAAATTGCTCAACAAAATCAGTGAGATGTGATGACCTTGGGGTATTTCTGATCAGGAGTGTGAAACCTTTGTTATTATTTCCTGAAAATGTTTTCAACTATCTCATTAGAGATGCCCACTGCATTGGTCATAAAACATGATGAGTTGTTGATCATCCGTAATTGAATCATGTGTTTCAACATTTTCTTTAGTGATCTTCCTGATCTTGTATGATCTTCAGTAATCCCATGCTTGTCGTAAGAGGCGACTAACGGGATCGGGTGGTCAGGCTCGTTGACTTGGTTGACAGATGTCGTATCCCAATTGCGTAGATCGATGCTCATTCTGTTGATCCCTGGATTGTCGGGTCCAGATTCGATTATTTACAGACCGCCGCCATATAGCTGGAATATTGTTGAGTGTGTCGTAAAACTAAACTCACCCACTCACTATAGATGACATCATATCCTCATGGATGGCTGTTGTTAGTTTGAAAATCTTCATGACAGTGTCTTGGCCAGGTTTGTCATTTTCAAACGATACCTGCAGAAATATTTTGCTTGGATGTGTACATAGTCCAAATGTACCCTGCATGCTTGGAAAGTATTGCGATTAATACATGCAAGCTATTATGGTTTACCATTCATTCTTCAGCATTAGATTCAGAATTTTTCAGGCAGACAAAGTCATTTCTTTATTGGCATTCTAGAAGTTGAGGAGATGAAGGATGAGGACATACAACTTTTTTATTCTGTGTAGGCGACGTTTCGATTCTAATGACAGATTCTAATGATACTTGCTGACAATGACATTAGAATCTATGTCGAAAACGTCGCCTATACAGAATAAAGAAATTGTATATCCATAAAAATTGTCATTCTTCAGACAGAGTGATTGTTATAATAAGGGCCATGTTATGAATGTAAATAAATGGAAGAGCAAGTAAAATTATTTTCTCATAGATGGTTTGTTTAGTAATAACAATATCTTGTTTAGCTTAAAAAGAGAATCTTGTAATTTGCTGTGTCCTCATAGATGTCTTTTGAGAATTGAGAATCATGTTTACCATTATACCAGGGAATGTCAAGATTCTCAAGGAGTAGTGATTATCAAAGATTCCCTTTCATGAGGTTACTATGTCATCATGATAAGAGCTAAAGCAGCCACAGTAGGGAAGGAGTTTTGGTTACACATATCATATCCTGAACAAAATAGGCGATGTGTATCATATCAGGAGATAGTTGTATCTTGATAACCCTGATATCTGATTTCAAAACACCTGGGACCTTGCTGTATCAAGATGTTTCAGTCTCATCTTCAAACACTCTTCTGAAAACTGGGACGGTGGGGTAGCCTTGTGGTTAAAGCGTTTGCTTATCACGCTGAAGACCCTGGTTCAATTCCTCACATTGGTACAATGTGTAAAACCCATTTCTGGTGTCCCTTGCCATGATATTGCTGGAATATTGCCAAAAGCGGCGTAAAACTAAACTCACTCACTCACTCTTCTGAAAACTGGGTCAAGTCAAGTTTTGTTCAGTTCTGTAGGCTTAGCTTGTAACATAGCCCGATCCACAGAGCGTTTGTAGTGCTACGGCATTCGTAAGCCTTTGATTAACTATAGAGTTACGACAGGTTGTAACATTACGACTGCTTTGTGGATCGGGACTAGGTACTTTAGAGAATGAATACAGTATTTTACATGGAACTGCCTGAACTGGCTTCAACCCCAAGGTGCAGTGATCCTGTTATCTGAGGGAAGAAAACCTTAAGAGGGACTTTGTACACAGCTGCTTGAAATCAGATGAAAACAGTATTGTTTCTTTTATTTAGGAATATTGCACTTAACCATGCAGAATATAATATTTTATTTAAGTCAAAACCAATCGAGGTAATAGTAATATTATTATTATTACATGTATTATCGCCCTCTCATGTCATTGTATTCCAAGTGCATAAATCGATGCCCATGCTGTTGATCACTGGATTGTCTGAAAGCCCACACATTTCTAGAATATGTGGCAAGTCTAGATTTCCACAGCTTCAGGCTGAAAATGAAGAAAGTCTCTGGGCTCCTTTTCATTATATTTTTTTTTTTTTTTACTATGAACTTTATTTTCTGTAAAATATGTTCATTTCAGAGACTAGTTGTTAGTCTAGGTAACGTGCAGACATACAAACACCACCGAGATTCAACTGGGTCAGTACAAGACCTTGTGATCCACAACTATGCCCAGATAATAGCTATATGTGCCAGGCATGCGTGAACCCTTGCGTGGATGTGTTTTGTATTGATTTCTTGTGGGTTTATAACATATTGATGTGGCCTGTCCAAGTTTTGTAGTCAAGTCAGGGGCTGACATATTGATCACAATGTCCACCTTATTCACCTCGACATGAAACAAACAATAAATGCAGCCCAGAATATAGCTTTCATGGTGAAAGCACTTTAGTTCAGTACCGTATATCCTGTATTTGTTGCCAGCCCTCCAATACACACCAGCCTCTGACGTCAGGTCATTTACTCTGTCCAAATCACCAAAAACTCAAGATGACATTTCCGTATCTTATCCTGTGATATGTTTTTGATTGACCCTGTTTCTGCAAATGTACCCATAGTATGACTGTAGGATTTGTGGGGCGGTGGGGTAGCCTAGTGGGTAAAGCGTTGGCTCGTCACGCTGAAGACCCGGGTTCGATTCCCCACATGGGTACAATGTGTAAAGCCCATTTCTGGTGTCCCCTGCCGTGATGTTGCTGAAATATTGCTAAAAGCAGCTTAAAACCAAACTCTCTCACTCACTCACTCACTGTACGATTTGTGATTCAGTAAGGTAGTAACAGCATTTAACAGACTGGATACCATGCCCCTGTTAGACCCGTGAAGATCCGGGGTTAGAACTGGTCTTCATCAACCCATGCTTGTCGAAAGAGGTGACTAACGGGATCTGGTGGTCAGACTCGATGAGTTTGATGACACATTGTATCCCATTGGCATAGATCGATGCTCTATTTGTTGATCACTGGATTGTCTTGTCCAGACTCAATTAATTACAGACCACCGTCATATAGCTGGAATATTGCTGAGTGCGGTGTTAAAATACCCACCAACCAGGGATCTGAAAGATGTTTCAACTGCTTGAGAAAATTTAACAGATGCCTGGATGTCAAATACAGGCCCATTTCTGGTGTCCCCCGCCGTGATATTGCTGGAATATTGCTAAAAACGGCGTAAAACTATACTCACTCACTCACTCACTCAAATACAGGTAATATGGTAGTACAGTTGCCTCTATGTGACCATTTCTGATAATTGCTGCTCTTTTGTTTTGAATTGATTTGTCAAGTTTAACAGGTCAAAGGATGATTGGAACTCTCAAGGGAAAAAGTTATTGGTGACTTTCTGTCATCCATGATTATCGAAGATAATGTGTCTCCATTCTATTATGATAAAAACCGAGGACCCTTTTCATCACCTCGTTTTGGAAGTGATGTCACCATCTCCATCTTTCTCATAGTTAATTAAGTGTAGAATTTCTCATGCTTACATGCTTGAAATTCACTGGACTTTAAGCAAATCTATGTTGGCGAATACTTCTGGGGTAATTAGTTCACAAGCTAGTACATAGTCAGCCCGGGGAACAGGCTGTTATCTTCTACTGTTGTAGTAATTTGATGAAAATTATTTTACTTCACTTTTTGCCTTTTACCGTGACTTCCGAGTCTATTATCAAGCTTCATGCAATTTCGGTTGTCACCAATGCATAGAGACAACAGCCAACCTTGATGCATTTTATTACAAGCATTTTGGAGGTTGAATTTGATGGGGACAACCTATTTTCAGTAAAGATATAAAATTAGTATCATTTTAGAAGGTTTAGATGAGCGATACTCATATAATGCCAAGACACTATAAATGCTGGACGGCTCAAACTGTCTTGGGTGATGGGTCAGGTGGGATAGCCTTGTTCACAAGAACATTGTCCATTGTGTTTGTCCACTATCATCTCGCTACAAGGCATGTACAGTGAAATCATTTTGGAAAATATTCCAGGTTAGATAATCAAGGTGGGGAGTGTTTGTGTAGACATTCACAACAGGTGAGCCACAAAGGTAGTGAGTGAGTTTGGTTTTACACCGCTTTTAGCAATATTCCAGCAATATCACAGCGGGGGACACCTGCAATGGGCTTCACACAATGTACCCATGTGGGGAATCGAACCCGGGTCTTAAGCGTAGCGAGCGAACGCTTTAACCACTAGGCTACCCCACCGCCCCCAAAGATAGTGTTTCAGGCATGTCCAACAGCGTTCTTTTGGATTTTTAGAAATAGATATTTAACCTTCCTCACCTTTATTCAATCTGGTGCTCAGACACAGGATATGAACTGAAACAGGCATGATGTCTGGAAAAATGCCCTTGTCATTGTCTAAGACTTTTCCTTGTCAGGAGGGGCCCGTCACTTCAGCACCTCCTCTGGTCGCCAGCAGCAGCAGCAAGATGGTGACAAGGACGACAAGGATGACAAGGACAAGAAAAATGGTGAGACTGCCGTCTTTGTTGCCATATCATAGCCTACACTCTCCCCTCATTACACCATGATTATTACCTATAAGGGTGAACATATCGGGGTTTATATTTTTCATACGATGCCCTAGGGCAAAATATCACTTTGTCATGTTGACGTGACGTCATGCACAATGCTATCACGTCACGTTTCTTGGGTGACGTTGCGTTCTACATACGGCAACAGCGGGTACCCAGCCTATGTTTGAAAGTAGATTTGGGTTTATTTTCCTCAATTTGACGACTTCGGTAATAAACAGAATATTATATTTGTGTCCATATCATACTATGTTTACGACACTCATGCCTAAATATCGGTATATCCCTTGCTCCGCTCGCGAAATGCCAACATTTAGGCATTCGTGTCGTAAACATGGGTACTCATATATTATCCTCTATTTATTTTCTCCCCACATTACTTACACTTTGCCTCATATCACACTATGCCTATTGTCTTCCACACTATGCCTATTGTCTCCCACTGTCACACTATACCTATTTTCTTCAATACATACTATTTCCCCTGTATTACAGGGTGCTTACTTCTCTTCTCCCAGTATTGTCTTAAGAAATGCCTATTTCTCTCCCAGTATTAAGAAATGCCTACTTTCTCCCAGTATTAAGAAATGCCTACTTTCTCCCAGTACTATGCCTAGTCTTCCATATTCCTACTTTCCCCAGTATTAAGAAATGCCTACTTCTCCCAGTATTAAGAAATGCCTTATTTCCCTTTCCCCTATTGTTCCTCTCCATTAAGAAATGCCTATTTCTTTCCCAGTATTCACAAAATGCCTACTGTCTTCCATATCACACTATGCCTATTGTCTTCTACTATCACACTATACCTATTTTCTCAATACATACTTTTCCCCTGTATTACAGGGTGCTTACTTCCTCACAGTGATACACGATGACTGCTCTTATCTCACCATTAAACAATATTTACTACCTCTTAGTATATGAAGATGCCTACTCTCTCCCCATATGACATGGATGTGTTCTGTTTCCCAGTATTACACTGTTGCTTGCTTTCTTCCAGTTTGACATGATGCCTATGCCTCCTTCATCCCCTCCCATCTGTGGATGCCTACTTCTTTCTCCCAGTATTAAGAAATGCCTACTTTCTCCCAGTATTAAGAAATGCCTACTTTCTCCTGTAGCATTAAGAAATGCCTACTTTCTCCCAGTATTAAGAAATGCCTACTTTCTCCCCCAGTATTAAGAAATGCCTACTTTCTCCCAGTATTAAGAAATGCCTACTTTCTCCCAGTATTAAGAAATGCCTACTTTCTCCCCAGTATTAAGAAATGCCTACTTTCTCCCAGTATTAAGAAATGCCTACTTTCTCCCAGTATTAAGAAATGCCTACTTTCTCCCAATTAAGAAATGCCTACTTTCTCCCAGTATTAAGAAATGCCTACTTTCCCCAGTATTAAGAAATGCCTACTTTCCCCAGTATTAAGAAATGCCTACTTTCTCCCAGTATTAAGAAATGCCTACTTTCCCCCAGTATTACTTGATGCCTCCTTTCTCTAGATATTGGAAGATCATACTTTCTCCAGGTATTACCACAATGCATGTTTTCTCCCAGTGTAAGACTGGACACTGTCTCAATTACCCTGTATTCAGACAGGCTTCAAGCATCGTGCAGCTGGATCCATCTCTGTGTGATCCATCACTTCCTCTAGACAGGTATTTGTCTTGTGACAGGTCCTCAGCTCATGGCACGTAAACATTCATAGATGAACATCCTTACACAGACAAAACATGGCTGCTGTACACCATCCAGTTAACTGTATATTGGCAATAAGTGGCATTCATGCAATACCCGGCATCTCTCTTAACTGTGATATCTTTTCAATTGTGCCTTCATTACATTGGCTCGTTGAAGTAATTTATTGTGAGCTTTCACATCAATGTAAAAACATTAATGCTTTCACATGTGTAATGTGTTTCCTGTGTCAATTCAATTTGGCAAAAAAGCTTCCATGTAAGAAAGGACTTGTGGTCGTGAGTAGAAAGCAAGTGTACCTACCCATATGTCCATTACCATGTTACCCTTCGGGATGAAGGTGGACATTGCCACTTTAATGGGAAAGCACAGTGCAGCACACATGAACTCACAATGTGAATACTCCATCCTAATAGAAACATGTTAGTGCTGGGCTGTATGGTGATGAGTAGTACCATGGCAGATCAATACATGCTGTGATGCTTTGCTTGTTTGTGTCAGTGATTGGGAATTAAAGAGCCAGATTGTTAAATGACCACACCTGAGTTTGGCTGTTGTCGGCAGTAATCCACTTGTCAGGGGATTACACTATCACTGTCACCGGGCCTTCTCAACATTATGGCACTGGTTTTGTTCATAGGCAAGTTCAGTGATGATGATGATGATGATGATGATGATGATGATGATGATGATGATCAGTAGGCACACCTCACAAGGATGACACTTTTTTCAGTAGGCACATCTGACAAGGACAATGCTAACATGACACTATCATTGTCAGTAGGAACACCTAACAAAGACCAAACTTTTCTCAGTAGGCACACCTCACAAGGATGACACTTTTTTCAGTAGGCACATCTGACAAGGACAACACTAACGTGACACTGTTATTGTCAGTAGGAACAGCTATCAAAGACCACACTAGTGTCAGTAGGCACACCTCACAAGGATGACACTTTTTTCAGTGGGTACATATGACAAGGACAACACTAACGTGACACTGTTATTGTCAGTAGGAACACCTATCAAAGACCACACTAGTGTCAGTAGGCACGCCTCACAAAAATGACACTTTTTTCAGTGGGTACATATGACAAGGACAACACTAACGTGACACTGTTATTGTCAGTAGGAACACCTATCAAAGACCACACTAGTGTCAGTAGGCACACCTCACAAGAATGACACTTTTTTCAATAGGTACATCTGACAAGGACAACACTAACGTGACACTGTTATTGTCAGTAGGAACACCTATCAAAGACCACACTAGTGTCAGTAGGCACACCTCACAAGAATGACACTTTTTTCAGTAGGTACATCTGACAAGGACAACACTAATGTGACACTGTTATTGTCAGTAGGAACACCTATCAAAGACCACACTAGTGTCCGTAGGACAACCAGCACAATTATTGCCAGTAGGAACACTTACGTAGCAAAGACAAAACTAGTGTCAGTAGGCACACCTAACATGGATGACACTGTTTTCAGTAGGCACATCTGACAAGGAAAACGCTAACACAACACTATTATTGCCAGTAGGAACACTTATCAAAGACCACACTAGTGTCAGTAGGCACACCTAACAAGGATGACACTGTTTTCAGTAGGCACATCTGACGAGGACAACGCTAACACAACACTATTATTGTCAGTAGGAACACTTATCAAAGACCACACTAGTGTCAGTAGGCACACCAAACAAGGACAACACTAGCACAACACTATTATTGTCAGTAGAGACACCTCAGACGGATGACACTTTTTCAGTAGGCACATTTAACAAGGACAACACTAGTACGACACTATTATTGTCAGTAGCAGTGTATGAAATAAGGCCTGTCCGACCGCCTGAGACAGGCTAGATTTCTGTAGGACGGTCTAAATTTACAGCTAGCCAGCCCGATGGATGGGTGAAAAAAATATTCAGATAATGTGTCCACTGGCACTGTCTATTTAGTATTTAAGAAGGACTGGTTAAATCTCTTCTGGGCTGGTAAGTTTTTGAAGTTACCAGGTCAGATGTCTGGCTGGGTTTTTGGCTTATTTCATACACTGTCAGTAGGAACACTTAGCAAAGACAATACTAGTCTCAGTAGGACAACCAGCAGTATTTTGTCAGTATTAACAAAGGACAAGGACAACACTTTACTCAGTAGGCACATCTGACAAGGACAACACATTCATTTTGAATAGACATATTTTACAAAGAAAACAATATTGTTGTATGCAGACATCAAACACAGGGGCAACACTATTATAGTCAGTAGGAACACCTAACAAAGACAATACTAGTGTCAGTAGACACAACTGACTAAGATAAAACTATTATTGCACATAAGCCATGAGGGTATTACATACCAGAATAGGGCTTAAGAGCCAGCACAAGAGGTCCTGGACCAGACAATCCAGTGACTGACATCATGAGCATCAATCTGCACATTAGGGAAATTATGACATGGATCAGTCAAGTCAGTGATCATGTTAAATGTGTTCCTTTAGTCGCTACTTATGACAATCATGGGTTGTTACGGCAGATAATGAGTCATCGTGCCATATTGGTTGCTCATGCTGTCAACCAGCCTAGACTTTACAAGTTGATATCATACAGCTGAAATGTGGCATACCACAGCAGGTAACAATATTCACCCTCCTTTGGGACTAGTGCAGATTCTGTTATAACATACACCAAGATGTTTATATTGTTATTATTGTGCACTATGTTTGGTTACTTCTGTGTCAATAAGGGGCTGTGGTAGCCTTTGGGTTAAAGCATTTGCGCGTCATGCCAAAGACCCAGGTTCGATTCCCTACATGTATGCAATGTGTGAAGCCCATTTCTGGTGTCCCCCGCTTATTGCTGGAACATTGCTAAAACAGTAAAAGCGGTGTAAAAGTCACTCACTCACTCACTCACTCACTCACTCACTCACTCACTCACTCACTCACTCACTCACTCACTCACTCACTCACTCACTCACTCACTCACTCACTCACTCACTCACTCACTCACTCACTCACTCACTCACTGTGTCAATAAACAATTTTTCAATTTGTTGGAATGCTTCTGCAGCATGAAACAATATTCACTCAACAACTCACGTTCGGTACCTGCACAGGCTATGTTGTGACATGCTCCTCTGTTTTATGATAATTATTCTGTACCCAGTTCACTTTCCTGCCTGTAAGTAGTTTGTGAAATTTGTCAGAATGCTGCTGTTTACTACTTCCAGAAAAAGATAAGCTTCCCCCACTACCACGACTCCTGATCTGGTTCTGGGTGGCGGTGACGGTATACACTGCGATGCGCATGACGCAGGAACAAGACACCAACTACTACAGATACATCTCCTGGAATGAGTTCTACCATGACATGCTGGCCAAAGGGGAGGTAACTCTAACTTCTGGCTAATATTGTTATATATTGATATAGAGCCCTGCTTCAGATCAAAAAGTCATTTGGGGTATGTTCTGGAATCACCCCTGTGTGATGCCGTTTTCATTCCAGCTGAAAAGGTTGGACCCAGAAGGATGAATTTCTGTCCCTGATTTGTTCGTGACTTATAGAAGATGCCACGATAAATTCAAAACAAAATATCAGTTCCAGAGAGTGTATTTCAAAAGAAGTGCACATCACCAGAATGTTGTATTGTGACAAGGATTGATGAAGTAGACATGGTGTAATACAGGATACTGTTGACTCATGTGTGATATTGCTTTCACTTGAGAGGCTGTTGGGTAGTCAAGTGGTAAAAGCATTCACTTGTCACGCCAAAGACCCGGGGTTCGATTCCTGACATGGGTACAATGTGTGAAGCCCATTTCTGGTGTTCCCTGCTGTGTTATTGCTGAAATATTGCTAAAAGCTGTGTAAAACCTCACTCACTCACTCACTCACTCACTCACTCACTCACACACACAACATGTTTGGTATTGACTAATGGTAATGTTTGTCAGCTCTTTGAAACTGAAAATATCAGAATACAACATTTGATCTTGTGTCCTCAGGTGGTGTATTCTATAAACATCTGATTATGTGTGTATAAGAGGAAACAAGCTTCATGGTGGGCAGTGATTAGGAAAATACTATTTTCTAATTTTTTATGAGACACAAAGTTATTTTTGACAATAGGGAACAGGATATTTGTTAATTGAACCTCAGTGACTCCTAATGAGTGTCTAGTTTCATGTATTTGTAAGTCACGACTTCATTTGGAGTGTAGACAGAATAGCTGGCCCAGTCAGCGATAGCATGTGGGTCCTATAATCATCAGATTAATAAACTGAGATTTGTTCAGATTATCAGCCTTTGTTTATTTTCGTCAACTGGGATCACATGTTTTACCATTATGTTAATCATCGTAAGATCTGAATAACTTGAGGCTTTCCTGCCACATTAAATTCACAAGCAACAAATAATGAAAAAAATCTTGAAAACGGTACAATGTGGCATCACAACTTACTCATTGAAGTTAATCGTGTTCATGATAGGTGTTGAGGAGCTGGGGTAGTCCAGTAGCAAAGCATCTAATTACAAATTAACATGAGTGATCTGGAAATATACTGGATAAATAAGTTAGGGATATTGGTATTGCTATGATTGATATTTTATCAGTGTCACAATGAATAAATAGATCATTATTCATAATTTCAAAATTTGCATATATCCCTAACTAATTTTGTCCAGTATCTAACTTAACACTCAAACAATCAGTAAGAACTGTAAATGGAATATAATTCTGTGGTAATTCGTTTTGTTTTCCTTTGTTGCATTAACTGAAGAAAGAATAGGCCGCACCTGCTGACAGACAGTGAATGTTGTTTGTTGTAGTACTGAGCTTCAGGTCTCTGACCTTGTGTTGTTGTCCACGGCTATTTTTGTGTTAATTGTTGAAAAAGCAGTTTGACAAGTTATTGTTATTGACAACAGCACTAAAAATATGGACAAGTGACGTCTTTGGGTGGTATTAGAAGTTGGTGTGATGAACATTGGGGAGAGTTCTATTGATATACGACTTTTTTGTTATTAATATGAGCAACATTTCGGTGAAGCTACGTACACACTATAGCCTTTTCTACAGTATTGTAATCACTTGCTTGATAGGTACACCGAAACTTGGCTCATATTGATAACAAAGAAGTATATCCATAGAACTATCCCCTGTTGAGTGAGTGAGTTTAGTTTTACGACACTTTTAGCAATATTCCAGCAATATCATGGCAGGGGACACCAGAAATGGGCTTCACACATTGTACCCATGTGGGGAATCGAACCCAGGTCTTCAGTGATGATGAGTGGACACTTTAACCACTAGGCTACCCCAACGCCCCTCCTCACTGAATTGACAAGTGATCTTGTCAAACAAACACTACAAGTGAGTGAAGCTTCAGTCTATATTTAAATGTATGAAGGTCAAAAGAAGTCAGGAAGAAATGTGAACGTCACTGACATGTTGTGCAACCATGGAGTTTTGTGAATTTCTGTCATTAAACAATGTATCACACATCTAAGCCCTGGTCCATGTAATCTTGTGGGTACTGGGTTCCTAATCTGTAAGCGTCCACTCATCATGCCGAAGGCCCAGGTTCGATTCCCCACATGGGTACAATGTGTGAAGCCCATTTCTGGTGTCCCCCGCCGTGATATTGCTGGAATGTGGCTAAAAGGGGCATAAAACCCAACTCACTCACTCACTCACTCCTAATATGTAGACACCTGACCCAAGTACCCGAGTTATCCATACAGGCCCACTGACATATTGATTTGTAAGATATCAACTTCAATATATTTTTGTGTTTTGGGAGAATTAGACACAAATTGGTGTGCACACTTTATGCATATTGGAGACAGTCATTTAACACTTTTCAAACCAGTTGATATTGCCATAAATGCAAAGAAGTCGGTCCTTAAATAACCTTCCCTGTTCTTAAAACTGAGCAACTGATGACCCTAACATGTAATTGTGTGCCCTTGAACTGCAGCTTGTATGTTTGTATATTTCTTGTTGTTTTCTTGTCTTCCATATCCTATTTTTCTTCTTTGATTGACAATATAATTTAAAAATATATCTGCTTCTTTATTTCAAGTTTTATACTGTATTGTTTTTCCCCTATAGTTAAAACGTTTTAGATTTAATTACTAGTTTTACATACATATCTGTGATATTCTAGTTGTTTTACTGTCCTTCGTCGGCAGGTTTTTTATAATATACATATATTTCATTTCAATATCAAATGTTCTCTCGTCACGATATGGCTGAAATATTGCCAATGTGACGTTAAATATTAACTCACTCACTCACTCACTCTTTATTTCAAGAGTTTGTTTCTTTTTATGGAATTAACCTCAACCAAAACCTGTTTACATTGTTATTTGTTTTCCTCTGCCTATTTGAATGCTGTAATAAGAAATTCAATTATTCTGAGATAAGGCAGTTATTAAGTACATCTTCATTATCTGCAGCATGGCAGCTGGTTTTATATCTTTAGATCCACATGTGATGTGAGACCTAAGTCGGCAGATAAACCTATCTCCTGAACAGCTCGGAGTCATCCCTTGCAATAGTTTCCAGTCGACGCCAACCGATCAGTCATTTACCATGACAGCCCTTAACTCTTCAGTGGAAACAAACGCTACATCATCTCCAGAACAAAACAAATTATAAGCTGGATACACCAGATCCAAGATTAATGCTACTTCACTTTGTCCAGCAATTTATCAGCATCCAGATTCTGGGCATAATTACAGGTTATAAGTTGTTGCACCTCCTGCCTGCATACGGTTGGTCAGTGGATATTAATATCTGTGCTTATGGATGCCTGTCTCAGGTGATGTAGTATAACAGGTCAATATTCCCTGGTAATATTCCCTCTGCCTCTGTCTGTAATTAATGGAGAATGGAGTAGCTAAGGCTGCCGGGTTTCAACATTGATGTTTGATTGTGATGAAGCTGTGGTCCATTAGTCAAGGTGGCATTCTGAGGGTGGGCGGGTTGTTCATGAGGTCGCAGTGTTGATGAAACAAGGTTTTACAATAAGATGTAATGCTTCGTGGTTCCTCCTGTGTTGGAAAAAGTAATTCCCAATATCTGTTGAAATAATCGATATGATATTATTGTCCTTCGTTTCTGTTTCATAGAGATGACAAAATAATTTCCAGAGTATTTTTTTATATTTTTTATATTATTAGATGAAGTTTTATTTATTTATCAGTTATTTTTTTCATTTATTATATATTTTGTGTATCTTTTTTATTAATAGGTCAGCATGATCAATACAAAATATTAAATCTGTAAGATTTTCATGTATGCAAATAAAAAATCATTTTGAATATTTTGAATTAAGTACATTGCAAATATTGCAGGAACCAAGAAAATAAAAAAAACCTCCGTCTTCTGGAAGTCATTCTTAATGGATGACATGTTTTTTGTTATATCATAGTGCAATGTTTCGGTACAGATTCTGGTCATCAGATGCTACTGGCCAGGTGGTCAGACTTGGCGACTTTGTTAATTGTGTTTCATTGTACCTTGCGGCATTGATCATTGATACTAATATCAATGTTTGGCCTGTCTGTTCCAGACTCATTGTTTACAAGCAGCTGTTATGGATGGGCTGTGGTAGAAATATTGCTGAGTGTTTTAAGCAAGAAACGGATTCCTGTTTGAAATACTTGCGTGTAGAAAAAGTGACGTCACACTCAAGGTTTATCTGTCCGAACAATGGGAACACTACTGTTTAGGGTTTAAATAGGGTTTAACCTCACCACAAGAGATGATTTAGCATTGGGTGAGTGAGTATGTTTTATGTTTAGCAATATGCAAGCAATATGACAGGGGACACCGGAAATGGGCTTCATACATTTTACTTATGTGGGGAATCGGAACCCAGCCTTTGGCCTGTAGAGTGAACGCTTTAACCGCTAGGCTACCCCACTGCCCTCTCCCTCATGGGCTTCACACATTGCACCCTACACTGATGCTTAGTCTCTGAATATATATTACTTTAATGGAAGCAAATACTTACTTTCAAATGGTAAAGGAGAGTAACTGAGATGGGAGATTCAGAAACTGAGGAAATATAGACTTCTTGGGCTTAAGCATTGCAGAAAGGGCTGGGCGGAAGGATTGACTGACTGACTGAGTTTGGTTTTACGCCGCTTTTAGCAATATTCAAGCAACATTACGGCGGGGGACACCAGAAATGGGCTTCACTCATTGTACCCATGTGGGGATTCGAACCCGGGTCTTCAGCGTGACGATCCAACGCTTTAACCACTAGGCTACCCCACCGCCCCTGGGCGGAAGGAAAAATAAGGTGGTTTCATTCACTGTGAGACAGACTAATTTTACCCACATGGGGAATCAAACTCAGACCTTTGGCATGATGAGC